TCTCTGTAATGCCAAATTACAGCGAAGCTCTTCAGGAGGAGGAGGAGAAGGGGAGGTTATGCCCCTCCGTACACTCCCCTCCTCTTCTCCTGCTCCCCCCTCCCTTTTAGCGGGAAATTGTCCATTTCCCGCTAAATTTAGCGAAGATTTCTCTGCCAAATTTAGCGGGGAAATATTTCCGCTAAAGTTAGCGGGGAAATTGAGCGAAAATTTTTCTGCTAAATTTAACGGGGAGACTGAATTGGTTTTGAGGTCACGTGACGTCAATTTCCCTGCTAAATTTAGCGGCCGACCCTCCTCCTCCTTCCCTTCTCCTCCTCTCCTCTCGCAGCTGAATTTGTTCGTGGGTGACCTGACACGAAGTCGTGACGTCATTTTCCCCGCTAAATTTTGCGGGGAAACTGGATTGGTGTTGAGGTCACGTGACATTAATTTCCCCGATAAATTTTACATGGAAATTTAATCCGCTAAAATGAGCGAGGAAACGTCCCCTGAGGCAACATGCGCGATTACGGCGACGCCGACGCCGCTTAACCCGGAAACAAACGCTTTAAAGCTGCGTTCAAAAAAAAAAAAAAAAAAAATTATAATAAACGCGCGCGTGTTGGTTGACGAGTTTGGCTTCACCGCAGTGCGCCGAAGCGGCGCAGCGAAGATTCTACTACGGGCTGCAGTGAAGCAGAACGCGTGCTGCATTGAATCCGAGCGCGGGTAGAGGCGAGAAAGGAAATATATATATATATGCAAATTTATTCGCTCGCGTTGTACTAAAAGTTTTATCCTGTACACCCTCCCACTGAGGTATATCAACTATTCTTAACTGGCGGTTGACTTGATCTTTGGGAACTTGCTATTTAAAGCACTTTGGCGATTATCTCTTTACGTCATTGATTTGCACTGTTGCTCTGCACATGATGACTCTCTGCACTATATTTAGATTGCTCTAGCTCTCGGTGAATGCGAGGTGAAATGTTGGCTTGTAAACGGTTGTGCACACTGTAAATGCACGTTTTGTGTGTTTTTAGGTTGTAGAAACATGAGGGTTGCTTTTTGTCGAGTTAGGTGGCTGACTGGGGTACACTATTTATTAAAGAAATCAGCAAGGGTACCCCCTTCTTTTTAAAATTCGTAACAGAGTCAGTAATGTATAATTGTATAATTTTATTAATTTATTCTTCACAAAATGTACAGTACAGTTTAGCGGCAGTTTTAGAGAAATGAAGATTGGTATGAGTATGCAATTATAAATTATCCCCCTCGGTCACACACACAAAAAAGGTATTTTTGTTTCATTTGTTTATTTAGTTTCCCTCAGGGTCACAGGTATTAAAGAGGTCACTGGGTTACCTACAGATTAAAGCACAACAATAACAGCAGAACAAATAATACACAATTCTTGGGAAAAAAAACCCACTATAAGACGCAGTTTTTTTGAAAACTTACATTATCGGAGATTTCAGCTATAGACACTTTGCAGCAGCTGTGCATGGGCGCCGCCATAACTGACCTTCAGTTTTTGTTTCTTCTTATTACATTTACTTCACTTCATCATAACCACAGCAGGGCAGGTTATTGATATTTTAGATTGTACTGCGTCCTTCTCCACAGCCTTGGCCTCTGTGGAGGCTTGTCAACGTTCGCTTCAGTGGCTCGGCATATGGAAAAGACAAGAGAAGGTCAGCAATGGCGGCTGTAATTTTGCGCGTGTGCAAAGCGTCTTTACCATGGCATCCCGAGAGGTAGCTTGAGAGCAAATCGGGTAAAAATGAGAAGTGGGCTAACTTTCCATGTGGAACCAAGCAAAGAAATGTTGACATTTTTTTTGTGTTTTGTGATCTGCCAAGCTCGTTTTCACATTGAGGTGCAATGGTGCATAGGCTGCTGGCCTTCCCACTCAGCAATATTTGCTTATCTGCCGTAGCTAACTCCATTTTGGCCGACGTCACTATTGGCCAGGGCACTGCAGTCACTGAAAATGGGATCTTTCTGTGTTTTTGAGAAAAAAAAATAGTAAATCATGTAGAAAATAGGGTTGAATTATTTTTTGGGGGTGGGTAATCTTTTGGTATATTAGGGCAGTTTAGAGAAGGTGATCTCGCAGTGTAGAATCAACAAGAATAAAAAATATGAAACAATTGAGTGTGACAGTACAGAATGCATTGTTGGGAAATATGTTAAGTACATTGTACATAAAGTACTACTTCAAGTAGGTTTAGAAAACTAGTACTTCACTTGAAGTACACATCGCGACACTGTTAGCGCGAACACAACATCGGCGCAATTTCGCATTTTACTTCTAAATAGTATTAGCGAGCACGAAATTTTATCGTTTACATTATAGAACTAAATGAGCCCTTTCCGTAGCAATAATAACTTGGATGACATCCCTTGGTTTCAAAGAGAAAAACTGGAGAAACCGGCGATCGCTTGTTCGCGCTAACAGTGTCGCGCTCTGTACATTCTTTGAGTAGGTACTTGTACTTTACTTAAGGTATTTTTTCTGGTACTTTCCGAGGAGAGTACAACCCCAACTTCGCAGTGCATTTCCTAAATTTAGTTTTGTTAAATTTATATTGTAAGCTTATGCTTTGTCAACAAATAAGTGCCTTATAGGCAGTCTTGTACATGTTACTAAAGAAAAGTAATTGATTACAATTACTATTACTGTTGGCTAAAAAGTATTCGATTAGATTACTTGATTACTCGACGGCAAAAGTAATTGGACATTACTTAAAGAAGTAATCGTTACTTTTCCAATTACTTTATTGTGTGAAGACACGTCTTTAACGCTCCTAACAATGAACTACTTCCAACCTATATTTCACATTTGCACAAGTATTGAAGAAGAAAAACTGGCTCCCTCTTCGTGGTCGTTGCACCTTCACAATGCGGACACAAGCATAGAATTCGTTTGAAGACGTTTAATGGTGTGGGTGTTCGCCAGTGTGTGTGTGTGTGTGTGTGTTGGGGGGGGGGGGGGGGGGGGGGGGAGTGGAGCGGAGCGGAGCGGAGCGGAGGGGGTTCTAGATCTTGTTAAGCTTGAGCAAGGGTTGTCGCTCAAAGTTTGCGTCGCTCATTTGGTTATTCACATGTGGATCAGCTCGCATGTTATACAAAAGAGCAGCAGCTCCAGGATTTGAAACGGATCATGTGTAGTATCCATTAGCGGAAGAGATCGCCCCGACCACTTCTCAACTCGAAGCATTGCTTGTCACAAAGACCACGTAGGGGAAATGGGGAAATATTTCAACTCCCTTTGTTATATTTTGCATCCGCTTTAGGCATTCTTCGGTTCTTGTTCTCCTACGGACTGCGAGTAGGTACCCTAAGCAGGATTTTTTTTATTTTTTTTTATTCCTGTGTGTGTGTGCTTGAGGGGGCTAGTTTGAACGAAGGACTCACAAAGCTACATTCTGCTTCCTCAGACTTCGCCCTGAATGGCCTTTGTCACGCACTGTGGCTTTCCTGGGGCTTCCCACTCCCAATCCCAGCTGGGAAAAGAAAAGAAAAAAAAAGGACATTCCACAGAAACTGTACATAGAAAGAGATTGACCCAATTTCCTACAGCTCCGCAAAAATCTTTCTTTTTTCTGTTGGAAAAAGAAAAGCAAATTTTATTTTTGTCATTTCATAAAAAAAAGGCGTGTGCCCAAGAGGGGGGTCCGTGGACAAATTGTAACGGTTACAAGTAATTTTATTACTTTAAAAAGTAATCAGATTACTCTTGTGATTACTGCCTAATAAAAGTAATCAACTGATTACAAAATTACTCCAAAAAGTAATCGATTACAAGTAGTTTGATTACTTGTAATGCTTACGGTACAAGTCTGCTTGTAGGTTGATTGTGTTAAATAGCTTATCAGTGAGAGTAAAACTACTTACTCTGTGGCCACAACATTATCCAATATTCTCCGCCATTTTTTAAAATAAGTGATGCACCCCTGATTACCCCTGAAGCACTGCATGCCAGTTAAAAAAGAAACAAAAAAACCATAGGGGTATGAAAGGGCATCATGAGAAATTGCATTAAAAAGTACTTGTACTTTGAAAGTACATTGTATTTATAGTATTTTACTTCAAATACATTGCACCCAGTGTGCTTACTACTTTACTCGAAGTACATAACCTCTCATTTACTTTGTACTTTACTTCAAGTAATTTTTAGATGTTCTTTACCCAACACTGACAGAATGCCGACTCTGTGATGGTGATTGATGTGAACTAGTGCTTCAAGTGGTATTCACACAATGGAGAAATCCCTCCTCAGCTTCGTTGTTCACTCTGACGAGGTACCAGTAGCAGTGATGTTGGCGTTAGCAGTCGAATTTAGTAGTTTCTACACTTGGCATCTAGGCGTCAAGCGACGAAATATTGTTAAAAGCACACTAATTCATTGCAAAACAGCGATCATTTGTATGGCACGAGCACAGCCTTTACCCCCCACTGGGGAGTTCACATCACCGTGCTGCATTGCAGAAGTGTGATGTTTTCGTTACAAGATGCATGCTCCTGGGAGAGATCCTCGGGATTTCTCCCTCGTGCGAGGACAGCTTTGAGAATGTCTCGTTAGTAACCTGTTCTTGAGAAATGGTTTGTTATGACAAATTTTACTGAGGGTGGCATCGGTCGCCGAGTGCATCAGACACTGCTGCTCGGAGCATGTGGAGCAAAAGCTGGCGCTGCGGGATTCAGAGATCCTGGGTTGAATCCTTGCCTGTGTTGTTTTGATCTGGATGAGCATCTACTGGCGTGCGGGCGTGTATCGCTACTACAAGGTGCACAGTGAAAAGCCCTAGGCTAGCAGTGGTACTGCACCGGTAAAATGTCTCGTCTACGGCAGTGACACCAGATGCCCATTGGGGCTGACTAACTTCCCACTGTCTAGACATATGCACACTACAATATTTATATTTTATGAAGTGAACACCAGCAAGGAGCTTTCGTATGTTACAAAAGGTTAATGACAGGCTCTTACATCCGTTGCTGCTCCCCTCTTCCAGGTGCACCCCAGTGGCGGCATGAGGATGCGTCCCACCAAGAAGTTTCTGCTGGCCCTCGTGCTGTCTGGTGCCACACTGACGGCTCTCTCCTACTGGGCGCGCTGCAGCACGGCCAGTCCCCTGAGCGCGGTGGATGTTGGGGCGCTGCTTGGACAGGCCGAATCACGAGGCAACACCAACCTGGCTGCAAAGGGTCGTGCCCACGTGTCTCAGGTAAGTGCTGTGAGACATAGTTCCACTGGAATGGACGAACGAAGGCCCAAAGTACTTTCAGAAGCGAATGAAACGCGAGCAGCGGTGTGCGTGGACTACCTGGAGCCTGATAAAATTGTGGGGTGGATTTGGGTTCTGTAAGGGTGTGCACATCAGAATAAGTGCTCTCTCTCACAGACCCCCCCTCCACTCCACATTTTTATCAGCCTCCAGGTAGCGTGACATGTATCGAAGGCCATGTGCTCTGCCGTTTGCGTTTCATTCATTCCTGGTAGTGCATGAGGGGCTTTACTGTGCTGTGCAGTTGGTGCAAACGTGACATTGACACTTTTTTTTTTTTTGATTCTGCTTTGAAAGGGTGTTGACCAGAACCAAACCTTACTGCTAAGGTTAGTGCCCGGAATAAGTGCTTTCTACCACACTGTTGTTGTTTTTATGTCATTGAAAGAGGAAAAACTGGTAGTTGCATGCTTGTTGTCACCGACGGTATTGTGCTTTTTACATTGGTGCGCCGGTGTTTATCAAACAGAGGAGGTCATTTTAACTCAAAGCATTTTACTGTTAAAATGCAACATAAACAAAAACAACCTCTTTGGCAAGGCCATGCTGTAACAACACCAACAATGAGCAAGTTGCATGTACACAATAACCAATTGCTTTTACATTGGTCTGATGACAATACTGCCGAGTTTATACTTTGGAGCGTTTAGTGTAGATGCATCTCGAAACTGTAGCCTCAGTTCTTTCGAGCTGTCTCTGTGCACAATAGAATTAGGGTTTCTCTGCAAAATGAATGGGTTCTTTCAACAAACCTCTACCCTGACCCGTTATTTCTGCTGGGACAGTATCAATTTTGTTCTCCAAAGACAGCTAAATCCAGAGGTATAGAGTTTTTGCCTGCGCAGGGAGGCAAAAGCTAGGCAAGTGTGTCGAGGGAGGGAGCATGAAAAAGTTAAAAAATTTTAATTGTGCACTAATTAAATGAAGCATATATTTCACACCTCTTAGACAGTGAACACCGCAGAAGGCCACAAGAGTTCCTTCTTCCACATCTTGCCCCAAACAGTGTGTCAATAAATCTACGTCGTTTACTGTCATACATGGACTGGATTTGAAGTAACCGGGCTCAAAATGTTCTGAGGCTTTGCGATAGAACTATGAATGAACCATCCCGAGAGCTAGTATGCGGGCTTGAAAACTAATTTGCGCCACCCCCGCAGGACATCCCGTGCATCATCAACGACGAGTACTCTGTCTCGTGCCGGCGGGAAGCCTCGGAGGTGTATGTGCCCTTCAGCTTCCTGCGCAAGTACTTTGAGGTATACGGCAAGCTGGCCTATCGAGAGGGCAAGGAGGTGCTGGACTGGCAGCACAGCTACTCCAAGGTCATGGTGCCCCAGGCCAGGTACCAGCACACGGGGCCCTTCCTCTGGTTCGAGAACTACAACGTGGCTGTCAGGGACCGCGTCAAGTGCATCAGTGGCCTCGAAGGTGAGCACTGCCGCAGCGGTTGCAGGAAACAAGGTTACCTGCTCAACTTGTGGCCACGTTAAGTGGCCGCGTGATCTGCTGCCGATTATGTGCCACTAGTGTTCGCCGCAGCCACACGCTGGGTTTGGCAAAGCACTTGGCGCATGCTGCATTCGAGGCATTGGTAGGCTTAATTCTATTACTTTCATTGCAGCAATACTACACGAGCCGCCGCCCAAATGCTTATCGAGGCAATGATTGTCACAAACTTAGGTCGAGTGCTCGTGCAGTGCTCAATCATGTCAAAACTATGAGCACCATTTGACTATTGTCGTCACCACGGGGTAACTCCCGTGGCAACATCAACAGTGCAAACCTCGTGGATATTATGTCGTAGAGTTTTGCTAAAGAGAGACTGAAAGATAAAATCTGCGTAATCTCTATGTCGGCTCCCTAGGTAAACTTTGTTTGTTTTTTGCAACTTTCTTTCTGAGCAAAATTTTAAAAAATATTTTTGCAATATACAGTTGCCGATAGATTTTTCGGACGCCGATAATTCGGCCTCGTTCGATATTTCAGACCTAAAGGAGGAACCGTGACCTGCCCAATAGAAATAGTGCATATTCACGACCAATGTTTCAGACAGCTTGAAGTACGAAAGTTAAATTTTTTGGACAAAATCGTCACGAGCAATCAGCGGGAAACACTACCGAGAAGCAACCATTTTAGATTTTATGTTGGCTGCACATGGATTGGCTTGGTTTGGCAGTGCTATTTAAATACTGCTAAGCCCTTCTGCTAGGTGACGCTATACAACTTCTTTTTTTTTTCTCGAGCTGCGCATCATTCTTTTTATTATTATTATTGTTTCCATTTTGCCTTGTTCATTTGCCATTGCAGTCATGGACATGTGCCTTTATTCTCGACTCGGTGAATCGTGTTTTCGGGCTACACTGGCTTGGATGTCATTGCCCCATCTGTTCTTCTGCCACCGCGATCTGTTGCTAAGAAGCGCAGAAAGTGCTCGACCATAATGTTAGAAAAGAAGGCAGTGACTCTCAAGCTAACAGAAAGTTGTTGAATGCAAACGGAGGTGTAACCTAAAACAAGGCGCGCAGGCATAACCTGAAGCAAGGCACTATTTACGGCTTTTTAAAGCCCGCTTAGACGTAATAAAGGCATGTTTTTAAATCTACCGATTTTTCGGACTGCTCTATTATTCGGACATTCTTTTGGACCGTGCGAAGTCTGAAAAATCGGTCGGCAACTGTATATATCCTGTATTTCATTTACCGCTAAGCCGACAGGGCAGTAAGCTGTCGATCTCGCACCGCTAAGTCATGCTCTTTTGGTGAGCTCATGTGCAGGAAATAGGGTCAGGCAATAGAAGTCTGGCAATTAATTGGTCCAGCCAGCATGTAGTTTGCAACACTCCGTCTGCTACACACTCACAGTGAATGAAGTATAGTCATACCTTCATGGTAAACTCTGAAAAACTCACTTTTGTAATTTATTTAAAGTTAGATGCATTTAGCCCAAGCCGTAAGTCTTGTTTTCGGCCTTAACGAAGAGATACTTGTAAACGTATATAAAATATATTATTTTGAGTGGTTGGTGGCAAAATAGTGGGGCAGAAAATTTGGTTGGCTGTTTGGCACCTGCCATTATTTTGTGCCTTCTGTCTGTTGTGTGAGTGCTGCAGAGTTGGTGTTTTAATATAAACTTCGTTTGGGGTAGCATTGCCTCTCCGACCATATGTATGATCATAACTTCTCAAGCAGTCAAAGGAAACAGAGTACATTTCTCCTTTGCATTTTTTTCTAGCTTTTTGCTTACTGTTTCCTTCTTTGTGGGAGTCAATTTTCTGTGCTTGTGTTTCCCCATACGTGATAGATGCCAATAAATGTCAATGTTTTCCTACTTCACTGAATGTTAATTTATTATGCTTTCAATCGTGTCAAACTAACTTGACAAAAAAAAGAAACTGGAAACATTTAGGAATACTGTGCATAGATGTATTCCCTCGGGAGTGCATGATTTTATTTTTGAAAAAGAAACATGTAGTTAAGGTAAGCACTTTATTAGTGCTACCTGGGAGTGACTGATTAAGGGAGCATCGAAAGCGAAAATCAATGGCACCGGGGTCTCTAGAGTGTTTTTCTGCAAAGTTATCCACGAAAATATTGTGCCATTTACGAAACAAATTTATCAAGAATACAGGAACATACAATGGGTCCTAGCAGTATAGTTAACTCCTATTTTATTTTTTGCATGTCCCAACCCATTCAACCCTTTGAGTGTTGACTCCCAAGTATACTCACGCGCTTTTCCTGGCACCACCCCTGCCACGCCCGAGTCTACTCGTTTCAAATTTTCAATTTATTCCCTGCCACTCCTAACTTAGCTGAGGCTGACAAAATATTTTTTTTTCGTGGAAGCGTTGTCTATGGACAGCCCATTGAACAATATTTTTTAGTTGTGGTTTCGCTGTGGTCTCGCCTTGTGACGCCAGGTGGAGAGTTTTGTGGAGGAAATTTCCTCCGTATCCGTTTCCGAGTCAACATTGTTTTTGAGTGGAAAACCCATGTGCTTCAACTTCATGCTCCTTGATGAATGCTGAAATCCAGGAACTGCTAATGAATTCAGAATCTGTGGACAGTGAAACTGAGTGTACTTGGTATACTGATCAACATGATGACGAGTTGTCATCACCTGAAAGGCTACTCAAAAAGAAAAAACTCTACGAGACTTGCCCCAACTGGACTCACAATGACCTTGTTCCCAGTGTTTACAGTTTTGGCTCGTCGTCTTTCGGAGTCTGTAATGCGGGCATCATGGTAACATCAAAGGAAATGGAGCACTTTGAGTTCCTGTTCACTCAAAATTCCTATTATGGATGCAATTGTTGAGCAGACAAACTTATATACTGGCAAGTACTTGCGTCGCGTATGCCGTTCTGACCAGTCGCGCGTGCAAGAAAGGAAGCGCGTAAACGCAAATGAAGTGTACATGTTCTTGACAGTGACACTGCTAATGGCACATGCCAAAGGAAGTGCCAAAATCACTCTACATGTGCTCAGCACGCGAGGTGCGATTTTGCGTGGTACCGTGTTTAGAGGAATACCACACAAAGAAAATTTGCTTTAAATTGAAGACATTCAGAAGTTAAAGAACTCTTAGAATGTAAAGCAATGATATCTGGTAAATAAATGTACATATTGAAACAAGCAACCGCATTTCTGCACTGCGTCCAAAAATTATTTTTTGTGTAGCGAAAAAATCTTGGCACAGGGCATGCGTGCATGCTGCTGGGACGAAAAAAACCCGGCACTTAAGGGGTTAAGGAACCTTTCAGTCTTTTAGTGCTTCCTGGCCGCTTCGTCAACAGACTCTCCCGGTGTTGCGCAGGGGTGCCCATCTCGACGCAGTGGGACCCCCGGGGCCACCTGTACCCGGTGCAGATTGCCCAGTTCGGCCTAAGCCACTTCAGCAAGAACTTGAGCGAGCCTCGCCCCCTGGTGATCGTGCTGGACGACGGCATCCGGGCCCAGTACGGCTCCTGGGTGGCCTCCTCCAAGGGCAAGGCCGGCTACACCCGCTTCGTGGACGACACCGCCCAGAGCCACGTGGTGGAGTTCACTACCAGTGGTGCGCATCCTTGCAACCTTTCCTAGGCGGTGGGGAAGAGAGGGCACTTGGTAACCGAGGGTGTCGGAGGCACGCCACGCGGCACCTCGACCCTGTTCAAATGCAGCGCTGGCTGGATGTTGATCGTCGATGAAGTAGGGCATGCACAAGTTAGAAATAATGAGAGGAGTCAGGCGGGTCAGTGAACGTTTGACGTTGTGAAATCCTGTCTCGGGATTCTTACCATGCTGACAGGAAGTTATCTGTGTGCATACTCTGGTTAGTGTGGGTAATAGGGAACATGGTGAAAGTGGGCATGCACTCTCCCCCTTACGTCATCCTTCCTTGCGGCTGAGAGGTGAAAAGAAAGTGCTTTGTCGTGTCTCGGTGCCTCAACACTATCCTTGGCTTTCCCCTGTGCACTGTGGTGTCTACTGTCGTCAAACTCGAGGGAGGCCATGCTCAACCTGTACTGCTTTTCTTTTTTTGATCAGTGGAGGAGGGTTTTGCAGCACACTATGTAATAATGATTTTCACTTTGTTTTTAAGGTCTAAATGTCTACAATACTTCATTTTAAAAACATTAAGGGGATATGCAAGTAAAAGAATGGCATTATTTTGCAAAAAATTGTTGAGGGGTTTTTATGGTGTTTTATTATTTTTGAATCTTTATGTTTTATGTATAAAAATAATTAGTGCCGGATATGATTGCAAAATTAGTTAAATACACATTTAAAGTCCTCTAAGCTACCCAGAACGGCATGAATTTGAGCCATTTTTTTCTGCGTGGTTCTTCAAGTTGCGACGTCGCCTACTTAGTGGTGTCGGAACAGGGGGGAGGCAAGGCAAGGCCACTCCCCCGGACACTTCTTAAGGCCCTGTCACACTAAGGCAACACGATGGCAACAGCAACACAACACATTGTCCGACAGTCGGGCAACTTGTTGCTACTCGCTCCCCTTGTTGTCTGACTAACCTGTCACATCGCAGCAACAGCAGGACAACATGGACGACAACTAAAACGTTGCCTCGGTATGGCAGCTTTCGGCAACAAAAACAGCAACAACTTGTGTTGGACAACGTGTGTTGCCCTGATCGCTGGCTGAGCGAATTTTGGACTGGCAACACGACAACAGAGATAGCTTTGATGGCAGAGCTAGTTGCCCCATCAATACTGTCTTACTCAAATAAAGGCTTGGAAAACCTTATTTAACAATAATTAAGGCTGACGTCGATTGTCGAAATGGTCACAGCTATGGTCGTTAACGTTCAGACTGATTTTGAAATTGGAACTGCTGAGAGACCAGCTCACATTACTGCTGGTGAAACAAAATGGCATGCCTACTCACCTGATAAAGTATAATGAAAATAATCCAGGAAAGCAAAGAATCTAAGCATTAAAACAACCATTCTGATCATGATCATTGATGCCTGGAACTTGAAAAAAGCCACTACCAGCCATCTGATTTGTTTAAAAAATACCCAGGACGTTTTGGGGAATGAAGCGATCTCATAGCAGGCGGTAGACAGACAGCATTAAAAAATATTTATTTCACCAATTGTTATGAAGGCCGATAGTTTTTAACAGTTTAGCTAACACCACGCTACAAAAGACGCTTTGGGGTATTGCCAGTGCTAACTCAAGTCTACAGTAGAAATAAGATTTGCATGAAGGAAAGAACCGGACAGAAACTCTTCATACGGTTTTCCTCGGCTAAGGCTATCTGCTTTGTGAGCGAATGAAGAACGTTTTGATAAAATAAAGGGTGAAAAATACTCTGTGTCAAGTTTTCTAATCACAGTGACTGGGTGATGTTGTCTAGCAGATTACCTAGCAGAGCGCGTTGAAAAACTACAGTAAACACCGAAAAAGAAGACAATTTATTCAATCCCATTGAGTTGTGGAGGCCACTATATCGGCCAGACTGGAAGATGCCTAAATGTTCGCCTTAGGGAGAACCACTTAGAAGTTACCAAGGCATCATCGGAATCATTCCGCCCAATAGTTGTGCATGCCCATACCTGCCACGATTGCACCCCAAACTTTGAAAACAGCACTGCGCTTGATTAACACAGATAACTGTGGGCCCAAAATAATTGAAGTGTTTAAGATCAGATACGCTGCGAATAATGTCTCTGAGCCTTCTTTGGTGTTATTGTCAAAAGAGCTCGAGTTCCTCGTGCCAGAATTATCGTAAAAAAGCGTATTTGGGCCAATTATTAATTTTGCCTTCTTTTCCATTTTTTTCTTCTTCCTGTTCCCCTTTCTCAGGGGTTAATTTTCTTCCTTTCTTTTCTTCTTCCCTTTCCCCACTTTTTAGAAGTTAATTTCCGTAATTTTTCCTATCATTTTAATTTGGTATTTAAAAAAAAAAAAATGTGGGTAATTTGGTTTTATATTAAATTTTGAGTATTTTCGCTTTCTTTCAATTCTTTGGAGTTCAAGGTCGTAGCGTCATGGGCATCTCATAAATGTTTGTTGCTCATTAAAAGAACTGTGTGTGTCTGTGTTCGTCTTTTACGTGATATTTCTGTGTTTTCTGATGTCTCGTAATTTCCGGCTCTTCCAACACACTAGCATTTTGTAGTCACATTTCCAGCGATTCCGTGCCGCACACAAACAAAAGCAAACAGTCAAGAAGGTGAATTGTTTCCGTGTTGTCCCCGCCGACAGCTTGGTGTGACAGGGCTGTCGGACTACAAATCGGACAACGCGGTGGCCGGGCGGCAGCAACATGTTGCCTGACTGTTGTTTTGGCTGCAATGTGACAGGGTCGCCGGCAACATGATGTCCTCGTGTTACCGGATAGAGTTGTCCATCTGTTGCCTCAGTGTGACAGGGCTTTAGTAATGGCGGCTCGCAAGCTCGACAGTTTGAAAATTTCTTGAAGTACCGGTTTTTAAGATATATCGCAGGCAAGAATTTTCCAGATTCTGAGTGACATGCTAAATATTCATCACCATGGAACTAATTATTCGAGGCCTCAGTTATTTGCAGTTATCTCAAAGTCACAAGCAAAAATTGGGTGCTCGCAGAAATAATACTTTTCCGAATTTCAGGCTTGAGAACACATGGCTAGAAAGCGAGCGCTTTTTGGCCGCAAGTAACATGTCAGTTGCATCCTGTTGACTCATTGAGTTGCAGTGATTTCAATAGTGGCATCCCAAAAGTCCATTTTTCCCATTTTGGATTATCTTTTGCTTCAAGGTCACCTCAGAAAAGCGCTCTATTCTCTCTTTTCGACTAGCACAAAGAGAGATAGGGAAACAGATCCATTTACTGTCCAAACCATATTTCAAAAAAGGTGAATTAAGTTGTTTCATGGGAAAGTTAGTCAATCAACTAAGTAATCTCGGACATATGCCTGCCTCCCCTCCCCCCTCTCTCCTCCACCCCTCATGCCAAAGGGAATGAGATCATGTGATGAACCGTCTTGGTAAAAAAGCCAAGGCTGTAGCTGCTGCAGTCTTTCCTCCTTGCCTCTTTTCATTATTTTGGAGGAGCACAAGAGTTCTTTTCTTACTAGGCTGTTTTTTTTGTTTCTTTTTGTTTGCATGGAATGAACGAGTAGAGAACATATTTACGGACTCAACTGCATACAATGCCGTCGTGTTGGCCAGATTTTCTGAACCACTTAGCTCGTCTTCAAGGCACTGCCTTCGCGCAGCAGAATGATGTATTTCGTTTTCCCGCAGATAATCTCTCACTCTGCCTGGGGGGAAACGATGCTGTCCCTCTCGTTTGTGCGTCAAGTTTTGCTGCTGAAAAGGGAGCTCTTCCGAAAACCTTCCTCACCCCATCCGGCTCGATTCTGTTTGACAAAAGGTCTCAATACCTTTTGTCAAGCAGAAAGCCTTGGAGATGTGGATGAAAAGGCGAGACAATTGGCTGAGCACCGACGTTAAAAACAAAGTCGTCGAAATCATGGCCCACGAGCTGCTGCAGGGCATCATACAGGAGCTAAAGCATTCAGCCTTCTTTAGCATCGTTACCTACCTACGGCACGACGTATGTGTCATCCTCTGAGCAGTTCTTGCTGTTTATCAAGTGTGTGGATCTAGACACTTTGCATGTAAAGGAGATTTTTGTTGGCTTGTACAACCTGAGTGATACCGAAGCCACAACTCTTTTTGCTGTGATCAAAGACATGGTCGTGCAGTTGGGTCTAGACTTCCAGAACCTTCGTGGGCAGTGCGTGCTGCCAACATGTCGGGAAGGTTAAACAGGGTGCAAAAAAAAGTGACTGTAGTGCAGCAAAGAGCTGTGTACATTCATTGCAGCAGCCACACCTTAGATCCTCTGCTTCAGGCGGTTGGACAAGGCTGCGAGCTGATTCGCAACGCGTTTGCCATCATTAAGTGTGTTTCAGGAATCACCTTGGAGTCAGCAAATCAAATGAAAACATATCAGAATGTTGCAATACCTCCTGGCCGCAAGAGCAAAGAATGTGCTATCACCAGTGGAAAAGCATTCAAGGTTCTTCCCCCGTGCCCCACCCCATGAACTGTATGAGTAAAAGCGATGACTCACTTCATTGAACTACGAAAGAGTACAACTAACCCTGCAAGACATTTTATATGACAAGGGGTATTCGCGAGACGACAATAAGGCAGCAATACACGGCTTTCTGAAGAAAATGCAAAAGTTCGAGACCGTGTTCTGTCTCAACTACACCATCACAATATTTGGACCATGCGCAGAACTTGCCACACTGCTGCAGAAATCAGATACTTTTGTGGGACGGAGGTACTGGGCGACGGGCAACGGTGGTCCGGGTAGCACACTTGACAAGGCAAAAAAAAGGAGAGTGGTTTCAGAGAAGTGTACGAATGTACGGAGGGAGTAGCAAAAAAGCACAAGCTAAAGGCCCCTTCAAGCAAAACCGCGTGATGTGGTCCTCCAAGAAGGTTCGAGCACAGCAGCAAGCCCTGTTAATCAGCGTTCCTCGATGCGGAGGCAAGCGTTCGGAAGTATTTCTACAAAACATTAGATTGTGTTCGCGCCGAGCTTGAACGATGAT